GCTGCCGGTCGTAGACTTTCGGCACCGGAAAATACCGAACATCGAGGGTTTGGGGGTTGGGGGTCTGTGACAGGAGCCTGTCTACGTAAAGTTTGGAGAGCCCTAAACCCTAAACCCTAAACCCTAAACCCTAAACCCTAAACCCTAAACCCTAAACCCTAAACCCTAAACCCTAAACCCTAAACCCTAAACCCTAAACCCTAAAACTAAACCCTAAACCCTAAACCCTAAACCCTAAACCCTAAACCCTAAACCCTAAACCCTAAACCCTAAACCCTAAACCCTAAACCCTACCCTAAACCCTAAGGCCTAAACCCAAAAACACTAAAAACACTAAAAACCCCTAAAAACCCTAAAAACCCTAAAAACCCTAAAAACCCGAAACCCGAAACCCCAAACCCCAAACCCCAAACCCTAAACCCCAAACCTAAACCCTAACCCTAAAGCCTCAACCCTGAACAACAATCGGCAGTTCAGGCAAGCGTCTTCATAGGCCAAAGTTCGGGTGTCCGACTCCAGCTGCGCCTTGAGAGGGCGTGTTCGGGCTCAGTCTGCAATATATCATATCATATCATATAATATAATATAATCTAGTGTTTAATAATACAATACAATACAATACAATATAATACAATACAATACAATACAATACAATACAATGCAATGCAATACAATGCATCGCAATGCAATGCAATGCAATATAAAACAATATAATGTAATATATAATACGATACTATAATATGATATAGTATAACATAATATACTACAATGTACTGGAATACAATATAATAGCAAAAATAAAATAGTATAGTCCAATACAATGTATTAGAATATGATACGTTATAATGGGACAGATCAGAATCTCAGATAAGATAAGATAAGATCAGATAAGATAAGATAAGCAACAAAGCTATGCCCCGCCCCCCCCCCCCCACCCCCCCCCCCCCCCCCCCCCCACACACCCCCCCCTCCCCCCCCCCCACCCCCCGTGCCCCACCACCCCCCCCCCCCCCCCCCCCACCCCGTCCCCCCACCCCCACCCCCCCCCACCCCCCCCCCCCATCCCGGGCCCCCCGCCCCCCCCCCCACCCCCCCCCCGACCCCCCCTGCTTAGGGTTTGGTGCTTAAGGTTTAGGGTTTAGGGTTCGGGGTGTAGGGTCTAAGGTTGAGGCTCGTGGTGTGACTGGAGGGTTGGGGTTAGCGTTTGGGGTTGAAGCTTTGAGAGACCGGCCGCCCGTGCTACCCCTGTGACCCCCCCCTGTGGTGTGGGGGGGTTAGGGTGTTAGGGTTTAGAGTTTAAGGTTTAGGGTTTACATAAGTCTAGGGTGTAAGGTTTTGACCCCCCCTGCCTGTGCTGTGAATGGGGGGTTGGCGTTTGGGGTTGAAGGTTTACGGTTTAGGTGAAGGGTGTGAGGTTTAAGGTTGGTGTAAGGTTTAGAGGAGAGGTTTGGGGTTTAGGGTTTGGGGGGGGGGGGGGGGGGCGGAGACCATGGTGGGGGGGGGGGGGGGCGGGTGCCATGGGGGGTTTGGGGGGGCGGGGTCTTGGACCGGGCAAGGGCGGGGGGACAACATGGGGGGTTGGGGGCAGGGCCTGGGAGCCCGAGACCACATATATAGATATATACATACATATACATGCTCTAGAAAATTTATGTCAATATGTACCTTCTTGCATACCTTTTTACAGGGGGGCTCCCTGCTACTTATTCATCCTCCACAGAGGGGCCCTCATCATCGAGAACGGGGCCCTTTGTTTAAAGACGTCAAGGGCGTGGGTACGGAATCCAGGGCTTGGACTTGAGTTCAGGTAGGGTTTAGGGTTTAGGCTTCAGGGTTTCGGTGCCTCAGGTAGTTTCGGCTCGTTTTGGGGCTCTTAAGGGCTTGTGGCTAAGGCTTTCTAAGTTAGGAAAAAGCTCCTGTGCGTGCTCGACTTGCTTTAACGTTGGCGGGCGCAGCCCCTTTCAAGCCAGAGCCCGAAGACCCACACGCCTAAAATGAAAGCCCCGCGAGCGGGTTCCAGAACACAGCGAAGCCATCAACCACAGGAATTGAACCTCTGACTCACAACACCGAAAACCCAGAGCAAACCTCCACAGTTTAGGGTTTAGGGTTTAGGGTTTAGGGTTTAGGGTTTAGGGTTTAGGGTTTAGGGTTCAACCCTCATCTCTAAGTCCCAAATCCCGACCCACCTGCCTTGGCACTACTCATGCCCCCTCCGTAGCCAGGGATGGTCCGGACCTCGCGAGCTCTCCCCTCAAGCCGATAGGAACCGATGTTCAGGGTAAAAACCCTATCCCCTGTAAGCCTTAAACCCTATAAAATCCTAAAAAACCCTATGAAAACCTATAAAGCGCTACAAACCCCTATAAAGCCCTATAAACGCTTTTGGGTGTAGTCTGGCCTGCGATTTTTGGGCCTTGTGCGGCTTCAGGGTTCACTTGCCGGTTCTGGGTTCTGCGTTGGGCCCTGACGCCTTGCAGGCATCCCTAGCGAAACCAAACCATGTTGCCCAGTAAGAGGGTTTAGGGTTTAGGGTTTAGGGTTTAGGGCTACTTCCTTCGAAAATCCCCCAGCCAACAGCTACCTGAGGTGGGCGCCATGCTGCCCTTTTTAAGACAGGACTCTCCGCGGAAAATGTTTCTCTGAAGCTGGGCAATCTTAGGGCCCCCAAAACAACACATAAGCAAGAATCAGGATAGGGATATCCCATATAAACCCCCTTATAAGGAAGCCCAATAAGGTAGGGATATCCCTATAAAATGCTTATGCTTATGTCCTTTTTGGGTCCCTAAGGGATTCTCTGGGGGGGGGGTGGGCCCAGGAGACCGGGCGGGACAAAGGGCGAGGAGGTGGTTGGGCTTAGGGTAAAGAGTTTAGGGTTTAGGGTTTGGGGTTTAGGGTAAAGAGTTTAGGGTTTAGGGTTTTTTTTCGGAGCAACCCTAAAGAACAGAAGAACAGATAACTGGCCATGATGCTGCAATTTTCTTTGAGGGCATATTTCTGTTTGTTGTTGGAGGGTTCCCTGAACGAGTCAAAAGTAAACCCAGTAGCCAAGGAAGAGCAATGCAAAACTTCGAGACATCGGCAACCCTAACCTCAAAACCCGAAGAACTGAACACTAAGCCCTAGCCAAATAAGTTCAAGGTTCATCTGTGGCCACGCTGAACCCTAAACCCTAAACCCTAAACCCGATACCCTATAGACCCTAAACCCTATAGACCCTAAACCCCCAACCCCAAACCCCCAAGCCCAAAGACGGTTGTACTGGCGTCGAGATGCCGCTGCCACGTAGGAGAGGGAGAGGACAGAGCTGCCCTCTGGCATGATGGGCGCAAAACCTCGCGTTTTGGGGGGTTGAGGGGGTTTAGGGTTTAGGGTTTAGGGATGCAGTTGTTGTGTTTCTTGGTTGGGGTTGATGGTTTAGGGCTTGGGGTTTATCAGGGTTTAGGGTTTAGGGTGTGGGGAACCCCTAAGGTCCCCAACAAATCTGCAGCAAACCCCAGCCCTTCTGGGGCGCAGGGGCCTTGAACGAGCTCAGATCTTGGGTGTTCGGGTCCGGGTTGTTCGGGAGTCTTAGGGTTGGTTTAAGGGTGGTTTAGGGTTTAGGGTTTAGGGTTTAGGGTTTAGGGGTTAGGGGTTTAAGGGTTTAAGGGTTTAAGGGTGTAAGGGTCTAAGGGTTTAGGGTTGGTGTTGATGTGGGCTGAACCGGAGGCATCAGGCTTTTAGGGTTTCGAGCTGTAGAGTTTAGGGGTTCGGTGCATTAGGGCTTTAGGGCTTCGGCTTTTGCCATGAGATGGCGTAGTCTGGCGAAGCCCGTCGCGCATGCAGCTACCCAAGCATTTAGAGCACGTACCCTTGAGACAAGGGAATATACCCGCCCTATTCCATAAACCCTCGAAAAATGGGAAGCCCCAAGCCCGAAGCCGCAAGCCCTAAACCCTGAACCCTATAATTACCCTAAACCCTAAACCCTATACCCTAAACCCCTAACCCTAAACCCTAAACCCTGACCTGGCCATGGGGCTCTGAACCATTGAGACGAGGGAGTAGGCGGAGGCCGACGATGCCGCCAGGTAGCCCTGAAGTGCAGGAACCCTAAACCCTAAACCAACCCTAAACCCTATAAACCCTAAACCCCAAACCCTGAACACCTATACCCCTGGTTCTTAGTAGGGAATGAGGGAATGAGGTAACCTATACAATCCCTTAAAGGCTATATGTAGGGGCCGAATTCCCTTATTCCCTATAAACAACCAGGGGGAAGTGCCGGATTTCGGGTTCGGGTGGTTTGGGGCTGACGATCTTACCTTGCGGTTTTTTGGGTTCATTACGGCTTCTAAGGGTCTTGGAGGTTAATTCTAGGGTCTTAGGTATGTGGGTGTTTTGATGTTTTAGGTTTTTAGGCTTTAAAATCAAATGGTTTTCATTTTCGAGAGTTGAGTTGTTGAAGGGTGGTGCGTTTAGAGTAGTTCCGAGCTCATGGAGCATCAGTCCAGGGTTTAGGGGGAGAGGTTTGGAGTTTAGAGGGCTAGCCTTTTGTCTTTACGGGTCAGGTGCAGTGCTATGGACATGAGTACATCCAATGTCCAAAATAGCTTACAGCTCAACGGTCGCCTCTTCAGCACCTAAGGAGGCACCTAAACCCTAAACCCTAAACCCTAAACCCTAAACCCTAAACCCTAAACCCTAAACCCTAAACCCTAAACCCGGATGTAAAGCTTTTTGAATACCGCGCGCAGTCGAATCATCTTAGGAAACATCGTCTCGAGGAGTTGCTGGGGGACGGAACCCGGATCTCATTCGGGGCTTTCCAAAAGTAGGGGTACCATTCTTGGGGGGTTCGGGTTTGGGGGTTTAGGGTGTAGGGTTTCGGGTTTAGAGTTTAGGGTTCAGGGTTTAGGGTTATGGGTTTAGGGATTCCATTCTCTGTGGGGTATCACAAGGGTACCCCCTTTCTTTGGGAACTACCCATGTCGCTCCTTAGAACCGCGGGCCCATCCTTAGGATATACCGCCATGTTGCCTGCACTCTGCGGCCCAAGCAGCACGCATGTCGACCAGGCTCTTAAACCCCAGACGTTTGTGGACGATGCACTCCCACCTCCAGTCGAGCCACTCTTTCACGGGTAAGGGCAGCGCGGCCCCTTCTCCAGACTTTCCGCCATCCTAGGATGGCCCCCGAAAGCCTCTGAACAATGTTTGAAGACCCAATCTTAAAACCTTCTGGAAAAATATTCCTGAATACGATCCTCTTCAACCCAACTAAGGGAAAATCCAACATGTCCCTGCCCCAAAACCCTGAACCCTGAACCCTGAACCCTAAACCCACCCGAAACCCCAAACACTGCCCAATAACCCGCCGAGCATCCTTGCGCACTTTCCCCACCAAGGCACTTGCGCGACTGACGCCTGTGAGGCGATCCAGAGCCTCTATGATCTTGTGGTCGTCAAATTTGCCTTAAATCCTAAGAGGAACCTGGGAATGGGGTTAGGGTTTAGGGTTTAGGGTTTAGGGTTTAGGGCTTAGGGTTTAGGGTTTAGGGTTCAGGGTTCAGGGTTAGGGTTTAGGGTTTAGGGTTTAGGGTTTAGGGTTTAGGGTTTAGGGTTTAGGGTTTAGGGTTTAGGGTTTAGGGTTTAGGGTTTAGGGTTTTGGGTGGCCCAAGAGTAACCTGGGAATACAACAAGGCTTTTTCGGGCTTATAAGGGAACCTAAACCCCCACAAAGAAGGGAACATCGGCCTTACTCTGGTCCCTAGTTGCGATGGTTCTCAGACATGAACGTGTGGCTGCACTGCTCTGCAACAAGCTTCGCAAGCTCCTTGTCCTTCTTGAGTTCCATCAGTCCCTGCAGCCTTTCCACAGCTGCCACCCGATCCTCCAAGACGTCCTCAAAAAACAAGAAGCAGACGTCGGATTCATGGCGATGCTCCCACCAGTCACAGAGATCCTTGAGCGCCCTGTCAACTCCCCCGGGTACAACCCGCATCACAGCAAAGGTCTCAAGAGGCACCGGGGATTCCAAGATGGAAGCTGTGAACCTCCAGTCGCTCACAAGCACGTCCTTCAGGTCCCGGAAGCAATAGACCCTCTTCACCTTGAGTCCTTGGGTAGCTTTGGGGACCCTCAAAAAATCTCATCTTTATGGCCGGATTCTTCAGGGGATTAAGGGAAAAACCAAGACTCAAAACATATCTTCTAACCTACCCCTGGGTCTGTCAAAGGCCTTGCATTTGAGGTGTGACTTGTAGATCCGCGGCTCCGCGAGCTGCTCCTGGTTGATGCGGTTGGTCGGCAGAAGCGAGCCAGGGCCCCCTTCCAGCATCGGGATCACATCCTTAGTCCCAAGGAAGCAACCTCTAAGTAGAAATGCCCTGGTTGTTTTTTAAGGTTTAGAAGGGGCACCCTAAACCCTATAAACCCTAAACCCTAAACCTTAAACCCTCCTCATGGGCTGTACAGATCCGCACAGCGTCCATTTGGTCCTCAAAGTCGACGTCGTGGCCCCAAGCACCCGCCATTCGCAGCTGATGAGCAGCCTGCAACAGCATCGTGGTGCCGCTTTTCCTTGCTTGGTTTCGGGTTTAGGGTTTAGGGTTTAGGTCTAGGGTCTAGCGGCTCTGAGATTTGTTCACGAGTTACCCCCCCCCCCCCCCCCCAAAAAAAAAAAAGGCCCCAAGAAGGCTATACTACTCTAACAGCACTTCAGTTTCGCCGGGACGGCCACCACCACATCATGTGGCTTAGGCCGCCACTGCAGGGCCAACTCTTCGGCCGACAGGGTTTGAATGTGCCGATGTACCAGCCTCAACCTGCACGTGGAGGTCCATTAAGGTAGGCCTAACTGGGGATATCAAGGTCATAAAGGGGGGCCGGGGGGGGAGGGGGGCGAGGGAGTGACCATGTATATATATATATATATATATATGTATGTAGGGCCACTATGAGCTATGGTTGTAAGTGGTTGTCAGCCTATCCGGGCTCTGAAGACTCTACGGATGACTACCCGTGAACCTCCAGAAAATCTGCAACCTCCAGGGGATAGTTTTCACGCACTCCATGGGACCCAGACACCACATGGCCAGAAAGCTGGAGTGTTGCTCCTAGGGTGTTCTTGAAACACCATTCAACAAACTTGTAACTTTCATGGCCACTTGCAGAGGCTTTTAAAAGAGAATGACAAAACAGCAGTAAACCCTATATCCTAAGCCCTAAACCGAACCAGAAAGGTCTAGATTCTGGTGTAGAATATCGTGCCTTCAAGGCCAGAGATGTTGCTCCCACCGCTGGGGCGACAAACGCCACTGGCCGAACCCAAGCCATTGCTGGGAACATTGGGATGCTGTTCAGGGGGTAGGGTTTAGGGTTCAGGGTTCACGGTTTAGGGTTTAGGGTTTAGGGTTTATGGTTTAGGGCTTAGGGTTTACGTAGCTTAGGACTTAGGATTCGAGGCTGAGCCCCCCTTTTTTTGTGACACATCCGAGGATCAGGCTCCCTTACACCCGTTGGCTCCCTCAACTCTGAAGGCAAGAGGTTTAGGGTTTTGGGTTTAGGGTTTAGCCCTTAGCATGAAAAATCGGGCGCTTGCCCGCACTGTTCTCTGAGTCCAGCCGAATGAACGTGGAACATCTGGGTTGTTCAGGGGGTAGGGTTTAGGGTTTAGGGTTTAGAGTGCAGGGTGCAGGGTTTAGGGTTTAAGGTTTAGGGTCTACGTCTTGCATCAGGAACAGTCCCACAAGTCCTCCTGCCAGCCTCTCACCATCGCAGTCGTCGTCTTCATCGCCATGGTAACCATCCTAATCATCAACCTCATAACCGTCCGAATCATTCGGCATCCTAATTGTCGTCATCACCGTCGAGCATCGTCACCACCATCGTCATCACCATCGCCATCCACCCTAAGCCCCAAACTCTGAACCCTAAACCCTAAACCCCAAACCCCAAGCCTGCATGTTGCATGGGGAGGGTCCCAGCATGGAGGTTCGACATCCTAAGGCCCCCAAACCCCAACAGAGGGCGTGTGGGATGTCGAGATTTGGCCTAGGGTCTAGGGGTTTATGAACCCCAAACAAGCACTATAAAACCTAAACCCAAACTTCAGTTTAGACTTAACCCATAAGTAAGAAAAACGGCTACCCAAAACCCTAAACCCTAAACCCTAAACCCTAAACCCTAAACCCTAAAGCCCTAGACCGCAAAAAGGCTTGGATGTTCGGGCTTAGGCCAACAACCTCGCCCCCCCGTCGGACCTTCCGGCTCGTCTCCAGCAATGGCTTGGTCACTTCCGGGCCGTTGGCCAGGGAGTGCACGAGGATGTCGATCTGGGGGTTTAGGGTTTAGGATTTAGGGTTCAGGGTTTAGGGTTAGGGTTTAGGGTTTGAGGGTTTAGAGTTTAGGGGTTTTTGGGGGTTTCGAGGTTTTGGGGTTTATCGATCTTGGAATTTGCCAACAAAGGGGGGACCCCCGGCATATACCCCCCCGTCTTTTCATGAAGACAGCCTTCAAAGTTTCGTCAACCTGTTTAAGCAAGGCTTGCCGATTGACGGAGGTGTTTGGGACGATGTCATGAGGGCTTATCCCAGATACGCTTATGCGCGTAAAGAAGTCATCATCACGAGTAGAATAGACCTTCACGTCGCGATGGAGGATACCTCATGAGGGAATACTATTAAGAACATCCCAGCCATGCGGCTTGTGTTAAACTTTGTTCTTACTTCCCAATGGTATTTTCCTGAAGGGCAATCTTCTACGCGACAGTCGTGGGTCGAACTAGTCTGCGAATTCGTCGCGAGGTATGGGTTCGTAGGTGGCTTTGTGACGAAAGGGATGCCCATGTCACGTATGACCCGTAAGTTGAAAACTTACGTTGTGAAAGTGTTCGAAGCAGCTGGACATCCCATTCAGACAGTGAGTCGAATATCCCATCTTCGTGATTTCTTTGGAGGCGATGTGGCTGGTTTGGTTGGCAGTATGAGATTAAACCATCCCAATCATGTTTGGGCAACGCTTATTTCTGCTGCGCTCGATCCTGGCAAAAGGCCTTTCGGGCAGCGACAAGCGAATGCCCGTTGGATTCCTGATTTCCTTTCCCCAGTCTGACTCTTGTTCTCTCCGTCTCTCTCTTCATCGATCCTCAGACATGTCGCTAATTCAGCCACTTCGACGCTCGTGAGGCTTAGAAGTAAGTGTCGGTAAAATATACCCCCCTCAAAGCACTGTCATCCTTATAGAAGACCCCAAAAGGTTACCGGGGTAGTTAGAAGTAGGGTTATCAATGAGATAAATCTTAAAAAGGGTCATAACTGGTCACGCCGAAAGGTCACCTGGGTAGTTATAAGTAGGAGTTCTGAGAAAACCCTAAAAAAGGGGTCATAACTGGTCACACCTGGGGTTGGGGTCTGTGGGCCTGCTGGGGTGCTGCTGATTATAGGACTCTGCTGTGCTTGGGGCACAGAACAATCATCCCTATACTACCCTTAGAAGGACGATTCTCTTTGATTTTTTTGGGGGTTCTTAAGCAAATACTGGCTGGCTCTTGCTAGGGAATGAGGGAATGAGGTACCTAAATACGCACTTGAGGGTATTTATGCGGCACTCATAACTCTAAACCCGAAATAGTGATACACCTAAACCCGAGACCCGAAACCCTAAACCCAAAACTTTAAACCTTAAACCCTAAACCCTAAATCCTAAACCTTCCTAAGAACCAGGAGGAATAGTAGAGACGGGATGCCAAGGTTCAGGGGAACCTAAACCCGAACCTGAACCCTCGACCCTACACTAGAGCCTAAACGCCTTCTGTGTCGAATAGGATTCCTTGAAAAGGATTCCCCACTCACCCCCCGCCCCCGGCCAACGCAAAGGGACCCTTAGTTCACAACAGCACTGTTAGGGTTTAGTTTAGGGTTTAGGGTTTAGGGTTTAGGGTTTAGGGTTTAGGGTTTAGGGTTTAGGGTTTAGGGTTTAGGGTTTAGGGTTTAGGGTTTAGGGTTTAGGGTTTAGGGTTTAGGGTTTAGGGTTTAGGAAACCCTAAAACCCTTAACCAAAAGCCCTAAAGCCCAGGTCACTCACCCGGTGCCTTGCCAAAGTCTTTCTTGACGGCCTCTGCAACTTCCTGGCGCAAAGAGGTGTGGCTTTCAGGGTGTAGGGTTTAGGGTTTGGGGTTTAGGGCTTGGGGTTTGGGGTGTAGGGCTTGGGGTCTGGAAGCTGCTCGATGCCACAGGGAGGTTGTCCTACATGACGGTTTAGGGTTTTAGGGTTGAGGGTTGAGGGAATAGGGTTTAGCCTCTTCTGGGAGTCTCTAGAAAAAGATGTTTTCGAGTCTTTCTTATACCCTGCAGCAGCCCCCCGAGAGGGCCTTCAGCTTCTCTTTGCCCTAACCTGAAACCTCAAATCCTCAAGCCAGCAGTTTGGGACCTTAAACCCAAAACATTAAATCCTAGACTCCAAACCCTCAACCCTAACCACCAGGCCTCGATGGTGTATCCCTCCACGCCGGCATAGCCTGTGTGGCAGGAAGCGCGAGGTTTAGCTTGGGATGTTCCCCCTTATCCGGACAGGGTTTAAGGTGTAGGGTCCTTAATAGGGATTCTAGTGCCCCCTATTTTCATCCCTATTAAGGACTGTTAGTATAAGGGGGGACATGCCAAGGTTTAGGGTTGAGGGTTGGGGGCAACTACAGCAAAGGAATAAAAAGGGCGCCCCTTTTTGGTTCTCAGGGCCTTGTAAGGGAACCTAAAACCCCCAAAAAGGGAATACGTGCCTACCCCTGGTCCTGGCAGCCCTAAGCCCTAAACCCTAAACTTTAAACCTTGAATTTAAACCCTAAACCCTAAAACCCTAAACTTTAAACCCTAAACCTGGACTCACTCGTCTAAATTTCAACAACAGCAGGTCACCCCCTCAAGCATACTGCTGGGAGCCATGGCGACATGAGTTGGACCATGAAAACCTAAACAAGAGCTTTGTTCAGGGTATCCCTAAAAACCCTAAACCCTGAACCGAGAGTATAGGATTCAAGGTTTAGGGCTTCGTGTGTTAAGGGCTTTGGACATCCTGTATGGACAAGAGGCGCTTGTTGTTCTTAATGTCATCCGGAACATCATCCGGTGAATCGAACATGGCGTCGAGAGGGTAGATCTTGGCAATCCTGGCTGCGAAGAGCGGCACAGCGGACTGTCAAAGGCTCACGTTAAGCTGGTGAGGCTTTAGGGTTTGGGGTCTGATGCGGGGGCATAAGCAAACCCCACCTCTTGAGCCAAGTGGGAGACCCTAAACCCTAAAGCCTAAGCGCTTTGGAATTGAGCTGCACGAGCGAGGCGTCGTCGGCTCTGCCGCCTACAGTCCCGGGTTCCGAGTTTCAGGCCTGGAGGAATTCGACACTGGGTCTAGGGGTTTAGGGGTATGAGGGTTTTAACTCGGGGTTTAGGGGTTCAGGGGTTGGAACTCGATCCTGGCTGGGTTCAGGAGGTTATTCAAGCTACATCGCTTTGTATGCAAACCCTAAACCCTAAACCCCTAACCCCTAACCCCTAAACCATAAACCCTAAACCCTAACCCCGCAAATTTCCAAGGCAAACGCCCTCTGGACGCCCAAGCCCCGCAAGGCGATCCATTCTGTCGATGCTCCTAGGGTTTAGGGTTTAGGGTTCAGTTTTTTTTCAAACTGCAACCACCTTTTTCGGGCGGAACGGCATCGTTCTCCAGACGTGAAACATCGTAGCTCACCCCCACCAGCCATCTATGCCCTCGAAGAAGTCCCCCTCCACCAACACCAGGGTTTAGGGTTTAGGGTTTAGGGTCCATCTACAAGGTCTGCGCAGCATGTTCTGGCTGCTCCCACCAAATGGGTTCTTGACGAAGTACTAAAACTGTCTGGGCAGCAACCTCGCTATGGAAGAGCAAGTTAGGGTTTTTCAACGTTATAAAAATCAATCTAGTTTTTTTTTTTAAACGTATTTAGGGTTTTTTTAAAAGTTAAAAAACCCTGTCGTGTTCCGAGAAAGCATCCGAGAGAGAGAGAGAGAGAGAGAGAGAGAGAGAGAGCGAGAGAGAGAGAAAGAGCACCTGACTGTGAGCCAAACTCAGGCAAAAACCCCCTAAAGCCTCTGTCTACACCCTCTGAAGCCTACAAACCCTCCAAGCCCGGAACCCCAACCACGAACCGGTTTCTGCTGCAAAGGCTCTCCATGAGGGATCCATCATCCAACTTCCTGGCCTGCAAGGTCTAAAGGTTCGACTTTTTGGAGTCTAAGGTTGGTACGGAGGAGTTCAGGGGGTTTAGGGTTCAGGGTTTAGGGTTTAGGGTTTAGGGTTTAGGGTTT